TTTGTAAAAGAAGGGATCCCTGGGTAGTGGAAGCAGTTAACATGCTTGGCTGTTACCCAAAGGAATAGGGGTTCTGTTCTACCCATGGGAACCTCTGAAAAAGGGCCTGGTGATCTACTTCTAAAAAATCAGACATTAAAACCCCTGCGGAGCTCAGTTCTGTTCTTCTGACACATGTGGGGTCACCATGAGTCAGAGTCAGCTTGAAGGCAGCTGGCTTGGTTGTAAAAGAAGATGGTAATGAGACACATCTTTCTGGCACTGGTTGCTCAGTTTGTGTGTCATTAAGATTCTCGAAAGGGGAATTTGCCCCAAGAGGACAAAAATCGAATGATCTAACAGCATGTAAAGTCATATCCTCTTGATGGAGTTAAGACTGTTTTGGCAGTGCTTCTGCAATGTCTGTGCCCAAGTTTCACTGGGTCACCTTGTTCTAGTGTAGACTCTGAGTCCTTAGTCCTGGGGGACCCAGAGGGTCTGGGTTTTCACTAAACTGTCCAGTGATTTCAGTGCTATCAGTCTGTGGACCACACTTTGTATGGGTCAGTATCATAAAATTGCCCTTTGACCTATAACTTCCATGGACTTTGTAAACCTGTAGCAACTGCTCAGGTTGGTGAGTGAACTTGAGGAATGATCAGAGGACTTAGAGCTGGGTAGTAGAAGACTTGAGTATCTTACAGGACTGAAGGGTTGTATTGGGAGGAGAGTTAAACTTACACTGTTGTGGCTCCAGGGGTTCACTTGGAACAGTGATAGAAATGTCAGTCCAGGTAAAGACTTTCTGAAGATGGAGAAATGAGAGAAGTAATGTGGCTGTGTGAGATCCCATTGTGTTGAAGTTCAGTATTTTTTTAACCATCCCTCTGTGGATGGACATTTTTTGCTTGCCTTAAAATTTCAGAAAGAACTTCATTGAATCATTATACAAAGTGTATTTTCTGTTTATCAGTAGGTAAATAGCTAGTTTAAAAGGTATGTGCATTTGCATACAGTACTGCGTTGTCAGTGAAGGCAAACATGGGTATATGGATGGATAGATGGGTGGACAGGCTAAACAATTAGGTATGTCTATGAAATGGGGAGTGTATCCAAGAACATATATAGGGTTGGCAGACAATGGTCCTATAAGTTTATG